GCTCACAACATAAGTCAAGTGGTGCTGCCAAACACATTGACATAGAGTATTATGGTGTGAAATATAAAGTTTGGGATCAAGTCATAAGTCTTGAGCATATAAGTACAGAAAAGATGCTCACGGATCTGCTTACAAAAGGCTTACCACCCAACGTGTTCAGAGAACATGGTGTTCAGAGAACATGTAGCTAGCATGGGTTTAAGGGAAAGCCTAAAATTCCAAGACAAAAGAAGGCCCAAAGATAAGTATCTATTTCAGAATGGAGTAGTGTGTTGTAGCTGTTAAATCCATCGACAATAAACCGTGACGATGAGACATGCTCTATGCGCTAATCTGTAATGGAATGAACAAAAGCAAATGATATGAAATTGAAAGATAGTAATGAGATCAAGGGGGAGAATGTTAGTTGATCTCCACCAATAGGCCTAGGCCCTTGGATCTGCGCCATGATCGGGGCGCCCAACCCTAATGTGGTTGGTGGGCCCCTGTCGCACAACACTATAAATAGAGGAGTGGGGAACTGGGCTCGAGGAACGAAGTTGACCAGAGCCGCCGCAATCCCATCATAGAGAAACCTAATCTAATCTAAGGGAGTGCTGCCAGCGACGGGATGCCCCACCGCACCGCCATCGCCCTTGCAGCGTCACCACCGGTCCACTGCATCGCCACCATGACGCCAACAACCCCACGGTACCGGCGTCTACCCTGCTGCGGTGCAACTACGCAAAGGCGAGGAGGCTTACCCTGGATCTACAGTTACAGAGGTACACTATGATACTAACACTTCTTCATCACGAGGTCGTGCTGCCGCTTAAGGGAGCGGGGATGTCACATACCGTGTTATACATGTTTTAGACCTGCTGTTATCTTTCTACATTTGAACATTCGGGCCAGTGTTCGGCTTATGGGCCGCCTGGTTGTAATGGGCTTGGCCCAACTACTGTGACCTTATGAACTCGCTGAGTGGGTGGATGGGAGGCCAGCAAAAATAATAAACCAAATTCTCAAATCCTCTTCCTCCTCCTGCTGCTTGCTCGAGACGGCGCCGTCGTCGTGCTCACCGCCGCGCGTATACGCTGGCAATCCTCTCCTCTCTGGCTAGGGTCGCCACATGGCGACAGGCCATGTGCAGTGCTTCAGTACGCGGATGACACCTTGATTGTGATGAGAGGTGACATTGCTGATGTCCATGAACTCAAGAATATACTACGACAGTTCTCTGAAGCCACTGGCCTGAGGATCAACTATAACAAGAGCACATTGGTTCCAATACACATGGACATGGTTTTGGCTTCTCAGTGCGCTGCTGAAATTGGGTGCAGTCAGCAGTCCTTTACTCAGAATTGCCTGGGTCTCCTGTCTGCAAATAAATTGCCAGTGTCTGCCTTCTCAACCTATGTCGACAGAACTGACAAGTTCCTCTCCTCTTGGCAAGCATCACTTCTCAACAACATGGGCTGGGTGGTCCTAATCAACTCGGTTTTGGACTCACAGCTGGTATACATTATGTCTGCAGCACAAATCCCTCCGGAGGTAATAAAGCAAATTGACAAACGCCGCCGCTCCTTCCTCTAGGCTGGCAACAAAGATTTCTCAGCAGCAAAGTGCCCGGTAGCCTGGCCGAAGGTCTGCACTACAAAATACTTGGGTGGGCTCGGAATCAGGGACTTTGGAACCCACAACGTCTGCCTACTACGTAACCTCATCCATCGCTGTGGCAGAATCGCCCGAAATAACATACTTACGAAGGCGCTCGTCTTCCACCAGATACTAAGCACCCCGAAAGCAAGCTACAGCGGGTGGTATCCGTCGGGCACACCCCGAGGGAGAACCCAAAAGATCCACATTTTTTCCAATGATCCAATAATGAAAACGAGTTACAACACAAGTCCATTTCATACATTAGAGTTTTTTAAAAAGTACATTATTACAATACAAAATACTAGAGTGCGGAATGATAACAGCGGAATTTAAAAATAACATCTAGCGGTAAGGGGCGAGGATTCCGTCTGAGCCCACCAAAAGGATCCTCCACACAAATGTACTCTTCAAGCATCACCTGCAACAGGGGTAAATAAACCCTGAGTACACAATATACTCGCAAGACTTATCCAACTAGTGGGAATAATTTCTTGACTCCAAAGAATATGATAGGCTTTATGGCTTACTGGTTTTCTTTAGCAGAAAGCAATACTAATAGTGTGTCCTTATTTATGTATTATTATTATCAGCCGTATTAAGTTATCATCTAGCCAGTCTATATAAGCACATGTTCTACTTTCAAGCAAGAGTTGAGCAATCAGTTCTGTTTCTTCTCCTTTTCCACTTTTAATTCTTACTACGGTGCTAAACCGTAGACAAGCCGTACCGGATTTCCCGGTGATTCGCGAATCAATGTGTCCAGCTGGGTGCCCCGAAAACACACGCCCCGCTTGTACCCCAGGCACAAGCAGGACTAACCCATCACTCTCCTATCTCGGGTGTCCAGGTCCCCGTCCAAACTTGGACTCCAAGCCCCCACATCCTGAGTCCCGGACTCAGTGTGGTGCAAGGACCTCCACCACCTCCTCTTCGCATCAGTCGGTCCGAAAAGAGCCGGATCTGCGACAAGAGAGCAACAAGCCTTCCCTGCGCCCATACCCAAATATGCGCTCGGGACAATAAATCTGTGACTTGCCTAGAGTCATATGCAACGAACGGTCCTTAATCGACACAGACAGGGAAAAAGTGTAACCGAGCTATGTCCTGTTGGCCGCAGGACACAACCCTTTACACCCACCAGTACCCAAACTCTATTCCTGCCCGGTCACCATTTACCTTTACCATTTTATCATGAGTTATCATATTTATCACCTACTTGTGAGTAACGGCAGGTTACTCACGCTACCGATATTCTGAGCATAGCAGCTATTTGACATGTACTAGTAGGACTCATAGATAGATATATTTATGCACGTAGTTTTCATAAAATACCTGTAACGTAAATGCACATCATATATATATCAGTGATCATTTAAAATAAGGGTTATGCACCGGGGCTTGCCTTGGGCAGGCGCGGTGTCAGCAAAGTCAGTGACGGGCAGCTCCGGAACGTCCTCCTGCACGAGGATCTCCTCGTACTCTTCGATGACTTCGTCGTACTCCTGCTCGCCGAAGGTCACGATCTCCACTGGCTCGTTCTCTATATGCATGCAGTGATGATGATGCAATTATTACTACTATTTTGACAACAACTCTTAAAAAAGAATACATCTACCAAGCTATTAAGCTAACTCTAATGACTAATACGCTAAGTTACGTATTATTCCCACTAAACAGGTATGAAACATTTCATATATTATCTTAGCAACTAAAGGCATGCTTATTGTTAATGTCAATTTACTATATATATGATAAAACAAGGAGCACTACTTTCCACATTTATCAACATATTCTAAGGCTACAAAAATTATAGAGAGCATATAATATTATCATGAGCCTACTGTAAATTTTTAGGGCTAGCACTTCTACCAATGCATCACAAAAATTCATTCTCTAAATAACTATAATAATAATAAGCATTTCAAAATAATAAAGTAAGCCTAAAGGTATCACTGAAGTGTATGAACTAAATACACTTACAGATAGATCATGAATTTAGGAATCTAACAAAATTTATTACACAATAAATAAATAGATTTAAATGAGCTCTAGAGATGAAGAAAATAATATTATTAGAGGAGGCCAATTAGCTTGATTAACCAACTGATCTATTCGTACCTTTGCGTGTTCTTGGAAATGGTAGAACACGAAGCGATGAATTGGATGTGAGATGCTGGTTACTTGATTTGAGAAAAGTGAATGATCAGTGGAGCGGAACAGCTCGGAAGGCAGGAGACGCGGGGAGGGAGAGGCCGGCTCGTTGCACGCGGTCACAGTCAGGTCATGCTCGTACCGCTACCGTGCTGACGATGGATGCGTGTGGGATGGGTGAACATTGTTTCGTCACCTCACCTAACAAGTCAAAGTAGAGTCGGTGCCTTCAGGCTTCTGACAAACGTGTGACACAGCTCCAGCTATAGTGTACGAGTATAGTCCAAGTCTTTGGGTCAAGACCAAGGAATGGGCCATTCCTGTGAGTTTTTATTCCTGTTTGCGAGAACTGTAAATAAATTGCAGGGTCTGCTTAGACTTACGTACTGCAATTCAACTAAAATACATTTATCAAACTATAAAGATTATTTTGTTGCATACTGTATTGCTTAGCCTGGCCGTGCAAGCTAGTTGAACCTGGTACTAATCTACTAGGAGTAGCTTAAGAAGTATTACGTGAGGAGAAGACGACACTAAAGTCTGTTGTGTCACTACGTTTTTGTCCTACCGTGTGGACCGTGGTCGCTAGCAGACTTCGTTCAGCTTGGCAGCATCTTTAGACATCGGCCTTTCTTGACAATCATTTCCAAGACCAACGCCAATTAAGTAACTACAGCACCACGACGACGACCCTAAATTACCGGACTTGCAGCGAGCGTGCCAGCCGGGGTGTAGTAATTAATTACCGTCGCATGCAGTCCCTGCGTGAGTCACGCTAGAAGTTGCTGCCCAACCCGCCATGCACGATACGACGAAGTATTGGCACTGCGGCAAAGTGTCAAGGTTTGCCAGCGAAGTGTACTGCAAGTGTGCTTCGCGGGCTGGCTCTGCGAGGGTGCTGTGTGCGTGCTCGGGGGATCATGAAGAAGATGAATAGCGAGAAATGGAGTTGGATCCGGATAACAACAGTGAGTCGAACTGTGCTGAAGAGTATTTAGACAAGGAATAAATTAGAGCTCAAATTGAGAATTAGTGTAATAAAATTTAATTTCTCATTTTACCACATGCAATAATACATAAACATGATGCTTATTATATGGTTTAGTGTTTTGATTAAGGCGTAACACTGAGGGTGTTATAATCGCCTTCACTCTGCGGACTCGTCGGCATGGGCAAACTGGATCAGTGAGCGAGTTGACATTGCAAACATGCATGGCGATAACCTGGGTCATCACTGGGAGCTCCTCAAATCACTACTGCCTTTGTATCAAGCACTGACAACGGTTCAGCTTGGAGATGGGCGTTCCACTCTTCTCTGGACAAATGTCTGGACAGGAGATGAGGCACTGGAAGACCGCTTTCCAAGGCTGTTTTCCCACTGCATCAACAAGGGGTGCACGGTACAAACCTTCAAGGATGCTTTGTGAACCGTTTGTCAACGCAAGCACAGCATGAACTCCAGGAATTGAATGATATCCTGCAGCAATTACAGCTCTCAGATCAACCGGACATGAGACTGTCGACTTTCAGTCGAACTAAGGACAAGCTGGACACATCTGCCATCTACCGTCTGCTCAAAGCCAGAGGACAAGAAAATTATCCAACATCAACCTTTATCTGGAGGAACGCTGCTCCTCCGCGTGTGCAGATGTTCTTCTGGCTGCTGCTCGAAGGAAGAATCCAATGCAGGTCCAATCTTTTCCCCAAAAAGATCGTTGACTCTCCAGCCTGTCTAATCTGCGGTGCTGCTCATGAAACGCCGGATCACATCATCTTTCAGTGCCCGATCGCTGTCCAGTTCTGGTCAGCAATTGGCATACAGTCCACCTCAGGCCTCCAGTGCAGCAATTGGCAAAACATTCAGAAAATCAGAGGCATACCGGATGATCAGTACAGCGCGTTTGTCATCCTATGTTGCTGGGAGTTATGGAAGCGGAGAAACGCTTCTGTTTTCAGAGACGAGCAAATAAACCTTCGACAACTAATCCTATCATGCAAGACCCAAGCTAACCTCTGGAGACCAAGAATGCCCAAGAAGAGTAAAAAAGTCATAGAGGACTGGACAAAGGTCCTAGACTCTGCGGTGAACACTATATCTATGTAATCTAGACTACCCCCATCCCAAGTAAAAATCCCTGTACAAAACTTTTGTAATCATGTAACCAGAGCTAGTATTCAATAAAATCAGGTGGGGAATTACGGTTTGCAATCTGAACTGCTAAAACACCATTGAAGACTCATTTTTCATATGTTACGGTGATGCCGATTTTCACGTGTAAGCGGACAAATCAGCCAATCCCAACTACACAAACCACATCAACACATATCTAGGAGATCGTAGTGCGTTATTGTATTGCTGCCTAGCTTGGTGAGTTCGAACCGGGAGTGATGGTGGCACCCATAAGCAATTAGTGTCACCAAGGAGGCATGATCTCTTCGACCCCGGCTTATATATACAAGTGTGTCTGGCGCCACCCTGCTACCGTATAGAGAACCATATCCATATATGTTGGGTATCGGTTGCCACATATATTAATTAGTACTTCCTCTGTTCCGAGATGCACACTAGATGCCAAGAGATCCAGGAGACAAGGATCCATTGCCACCTTAGAACATCTTCCCGCTCCATCAGCCAATCACTAGTAGGGTATTTGGTTTCAAAAATGAGTTAGTCCATATCATAAATCATTTCTCACTTTTTTTTGTTTGGTTTGTAGAATGAAATAAGTTAATACAACATCATCTCATTCCTCGTAAGCTAATAAGTCGTAGTTTGAGGAATAAAGTCATCCCACTAAATTTGAGAAACGAACTCATGATGCATGGAGTGACTCATCAAACTAAACACACTGTAGATTCATGAGACAAGGACGCTGTGTTCTTCTGCCTGACATTAGTGTCTACATGTCAAAGGATTATTATTCTTTGAAAGACCAAGAGGAATCATGTTATAGAACATAATTGAGAGAAGCCATGTAGATGCTCGTAAAGGTAAAATGTATCGGTAGTGCTAGGGTCCGGACGTTCGGACGGACGCCCACGCTACACTCCGTTTCCCGTGTGCGCCTACACTCCACGCCTCAGCTCGTGCTTGCGTTTTGCGCTCCCATGCGGGGCCTGCGTCGCCCGGACGACGCCTCCAGACTGTGCGCGCATCCCATGTGCAACACCCGATCTACTTTTAAAACATCCATATACAACACTCGCAACATACGTCCGAAGATAGATGAAAACACTTGAAACATGCTTCTGAAACACTTGAAAAAACCTAAAAAATGTTTGAAAATCATTGCAAACATACAAAACATCAATATAAAACACTTAAAACATATGTGTGAAACATATGCAACATCCGGATAAACACACTTGCAACACACGTCTAAAAACACATATGAAACATTGGGAACATGCACTTGCAACATACGTGTACAACCATTGCAACATATGCAACATCCCCATCCATCCATCCGAAACACTTGCAACGTACCTTTTTTTTGAGTAAATACTTGCTACGTACCTCTGAAACAACTGAAACACTTGAAACATATATTTGCAACATGCGTTTTTCACTCTTCTTCCTCACGATGCGAGAAAGCGGAGCGGAAACGACCCGATTTTGGCCACCGTAGTTGCGATGATGGTGGCGCTTGACTTAGCGTGACCAACGCGCTACTGCGCCTTTGCTCAGGGCCGACCAACGACATCCCCCTCTCCTTGTTGCTTGGCCACACGCAGGTGTTCGGGTGCCTGCGCGGCTGCTGCTGGGTTGACCCGACCAGCCAGCGGCACCGACGAACTGCCCAACCCCGGCGGCGGCGAGGAGGCTAGCCGGCTCGGTGGAGGCGACCGCGGTGAGCGGGCAACGTGGTGGAGGCGGCACGCGGCGAGCAGGCAAAACAGTTGCGGCGGTGGAGAACGCCGTGAGACAAAGTGGGGAAATATCCCATCATCCAGCTTTTTTAGAAGTCGTCAAAGTGTCCAATTGATTTGGTACGAGGGAGCATGTTGCTTGGGCCCGTCCGTAGGCCCAGGAAGCAAGCATCCGGGTGGACGGACGCCCTGACTGCAACATTACCGGAACATATGTACGTGCATTCACAGTGATCAATGATTGTACGTATATGTATGAGTATTTGCGTCTTGTATTGTGGTCCGCAACAAAGAAAATGAGCTTTCTTTTTTAATTCTTATACGCTTTACTTATTGAAAATTCCTAAAAAACTGTTGGAAAATCTTTAAATCTTATACGGTTGGTTACAAGACATCTTTATAGTCACGTGGGGCATGCACGTGTATTTATACTAGTGATAATAAAAATAACATCAATTTTTTTAGCGAAATAAAAAATAACAACAATTGATAAGCCTGTGTCCGTAGGGCTGAAGGCCCATGGGCTACGGGTCGCCCAATAGGCCCGGCCTGTTCACACGTCAACATACATAGTACACACAAGAGTAACCATCTGGGCCCTAGGGATTTATTGGGCCGACTCGAAACTACACACGAATGCTGTAACGCGGAAATCAGGGCAGCCGCCGCCCGGCCCGGGGCATTTCTGGGTGGCTGGGTGACTGGCTGGGTGCCTGGACTTGCTGCTAGTGCTAGTGCCCTACACCGGGAGCGGGAGGAGTCGGAGGGCACACGCCGCCGGGGTTGTTCCCGTAGGTGCAGTTGGACGGCTGCGCCGAGGAATTCGTGCTCGTCAACTCCACCGCCACGACGGCAAGATGCAGCACGGCGCCGGCGCCGGCGCTGCCGCCGCCCTGCCTCACCACTGGGCGCGCCGCGGCGCCAACGACGACGACGCCACCGGAGGCGAGCACGGCAAGGACAAGAACCGCCGCTGCAACTGCAAGCGTCAAGGACCTCATGGTCGATCGATCGATGGATTCACACTTCACAACTAGCAATCGATCGCGATCGAGTAGCTTGAATTGCCGCGATCGTCGTGTGAGGCTGTGCTGCGATGTGTATGCAATGCATGCGTATAAATACACGCACGGGCGCACGCACGGCTGACGGCTACATGGTAAACACTAGCTAGTAGTGCGCGGAGAGATGAGAGGGAGAGACGTTTTGCATTGTCATTTGACCTTGGAATGAACGAACAAGCAAATAATGCTTTGCTTGTCTAGTTGTTATCTTCCAGGGGAGGAAATTTGATTAGAACCGTTGCATTAGTCGACAGGTTCAGACCTGCAGTCTGCATGCATGCACACACCCGGCAATTCAGCTTCTTCGGTCAGGAAAGCACCAAGTACAAGTAGGCTAATGCATTGTGATTCCTTTTTGACCCTTGCATTGTCTACGTGTCAACCCGAGCAAACCTACAGTGTTAATGTGCGCATGCTTGACTCCTGGGGACTGAAGCAGCTGGAAGCTGAGGACGGCAAGCACTTCGGAAGGCAGGGAGGGAGAGGGAGCACTCGCGCAGAGCTGGGCGAACCTGCTGGCCACCTGATCGAGCTCGCTCAGGGTCTAGCTCAGACAGACAGCAGGGACGACGACGTGTCTGCTGGGCTCTCGCTCTCCTTGTCAGGCGGTCAGAGAGACGGATCTGGATCGTGGGACGGGCCTAACACGCGAGCCCAGCCTTTCGGCTCTGCTCTGGTCCGCGCGTGCGTGTTGCGTCGATCCAGCTCCAGCACCACCGTACCGCAAACTCCGCGAGCCATCGTCGGCGCCGCCGGCCGGAACACGCACCGACGCACGTGGACGAGCGTGCTGCCTAGTGGGCGTGATGCGTGGTCGACGACCCAGAGGAAATGGGGGCGCGCGGACGGAGAAGGCACAGGGCACCGGGCAGCATACTTTGCTCTTTTATTTACGCGCGCGCGCGTGTGTAAATATATATAAATTTCAAAAACCTATTACGCCTATTCTCTGACCGTCTCAAAAATCTACAACCGACGACATACGACATTCGACAATGCGGCTCCATGTCAGACCGAACCATGCTACATGCCATGTGGGACCGTCACTGAACCAATATATGGAAGAGCATGGCTAGCGTCCGGACGTCCGGACAGACCGCGCAACCCGCCTCCGTCCGCATCACTCTGACTCGCACGTGCACCCCGCCCGCCGCACCTTGCGTTCGGACGGCCGCACCACCCGCCCCCATGCACCCTACCCCGTCGTTGCGCCCCGCTCCTTCTCCCTAACCCCGTCCTCTCTCTCTCTCCGCGTGGGTGGGACCTAGGAGCTAGCCCCCAGCTCGCTACGCCCCCGTTCGCTGGTCCCCAGATCGCCGCGCCTCATCCCTCGGTGCCTGGGCCATACGCCCATCATTCACCGTGCCCCCGTGAAACACTTGCAACATGCAACACTTGGATGCAACATACGTCTAACACAGATGAAACATTTGAAATATACTGTTGCAACATATGTGTGAAACATATGCATCATCCAGATAAAACACTTGTAAGACGTGTGCGAAACATATGCAACCAAGGACAAAGCCAGAAAAAATTTAGGAGGGGCTGAACAAAAGAATAGATGTTTTTTATTTTCTCTTAACCTTAGTACCTCCTACCTAATACATATATGCATAAAATTTTAAGGGATGGCTTAGGGGGGCTCCACGTGCCCAGAATCGGTAGGGGGGGCTAGAGCCCCACCGCTGGCTCCGTCGCTGTATGCAACATCCAGATAAAATATTTGCAACTGTGTGTGACACATATACAACATCTAGATAAAACACTTGCTGCAATATACGTATAAAATAGATGAAATATTTTTCAAAACGCTTGCAACATACCACTAGAAACACTTGCAAAATATGCAACATGTGCAAACATCCCGATCTACTTTTGCAACATCCATATGTAGCAATTGCAACATACTTCTAAGACATCTTAAACACTTGAAATATATATTTGCAATATAGGGGATGAAAAGGTCGGAGCCGGTAGATTCTGGTCATCCGGGTGGGATCCGGAGGCGAGCGGCGGCGCGCGAGCACCACTAGCACCAGCACCACCACCGCCGCCACCAGCAGCACCGGCCTTGGCTCGGCCAAGTAGGCGGCGCGCGCTACGGGAGGGAGTGGGCGGCATGGCGCACGGCCGAATCGAGGAGCGAGGTGCGGGTGGGGCAAGCGATGGGCGGGAGAGAGGAGCAAGGGGCGAGCAGCGCATGGGTCGAGGACGCGGTGGGAGAATTGTAACACCCTTGTGTTAAGCATTGCATTTGATATCTGCATTTCATGAGCACAAGCATTATCCAAGCATTCATGAACAAGAGCATATGAAATTTCATCTCATTCTTATGCATTATCATATGAAATGTTGATTTATATATGTGTGTTTATGCTTGCAATTATATATGACCAATGTATAAAATGGTAGTGAGGTCATGAAAACACCTTAGACACATCTAGGATAGTAAATGGAACAATATTTGTATTCATGACATAGGTCAATTTTGCTTCTAAGTGTTGGTTTCATTTGAAATGCCACTTTCATGATGCTAGTTTGACTAAAGTTGAACAGTAGCTTAGATTGTTTGCATGGTTGTGTGACCTAAATAAAAATTGTAGTACTTGACTAGGGTAACAACTTTTATTTTTGGGTTAAGGTCTAATTCAGTGCATGCATGCTCAAAAACAGCTCACAAGTTTCAACAAAATGTTGTTTTGAAGACGTGAAATTTTCTAAGTGTGGAAATGATTTTCAGTTTCAAAGTACCTCACTTTGGAGTAAGTAGTTTGTTAACCAGTGAGAATTAGATGATAGTTCTTAAAGCAAAGTTATAGATGGCATGTAGCTCTACAATTTTTGTTATTGGAGTTTTTGCATTGGATGAATAGATTAGGCGTTACATGGGGTTGAAGTGGCGCTGTCAATCAACGATCACGGCACCTGATCGCTTGTTCGCGCGCCCGTAGTGCAGGCCGACCGGCCACAGGCCGTGGCCACCGCGAGGTGGCAGCATGCTGGCATTGGCCCAACCGGTTAGGCCAGCGCGCGCGCATAAATGCCACGCACCCTCCACTCCATCCGCTCGCCCGCTCTCACTCCCTCCTGCTCGCTCCACCTCTCCACAGCGCCGCGCCGAGCACCACCGTAGCTCCACCTCTCCACAGCGCCGCTCGCTGCCAACGTAGCTCCATCGGCCGATTCGTCTCGGCCATAGCTGCTACGCCATCACCTCCGCCTCCTCGAGCCACCAGCACCGCCTACCGACCACAGGTAGAGTGGCATTTTGCCTCGCCGCAGCCGCCGTCATCATCGGAGCGCCGCCGCGCTTGTGTCTCACCATGGGCTCGCCATCCCACTGCATCATAGGCCTTTGTTTTCTTTGGTCCAGCACCGCGCTAGAGTATAGGAGCTTAGGCCGGAGTTAGGGATGACGCCACCACTTGACGACGCCAGAACAAGTCACCACCCCGCGCGCGCCCGCCATGGCCGCTGTGGCACTCGAGCTCGCTGCCGTCGAGTTGGTTCACCGTCTCACTCTTTTCTTGCACGCCTTAGGTCGAGTAACCCTAGGCCTCGCTAATGGCATGATGGAGACCCACCTTTCACCACCGTTTAGCCGAAACAACGTGAGCACCGTCGTGCTCCGTTGTGACAGAACCGCCCGAAATAGCACACTTATGGAGGCGCTCGTCTTCCACCAGACACTAAGCACCTCGAAAGCAAGCTACAGTGGCGGTATCCATCGGGCACACCCCAAGGGAGAACCCGAAAGATCCACATTTTTCCTAAGGATCCAATAATGAGAACGAGTTACAATACTTATCCATTTCATATATCAGAAGTTCTAAAAAATTACATTATTATATTACCAAATGTCAGAGTGCGGAATAATAAATAATGGAATTTAGAAATAAACATCTAGCGATAAGAAACGAGGATCCGTCTAAGCCCACCGGAAGAATCCTCCACACAAGGGTACTTCTCATGCATTTCCTGCAATAGGGGTAAATAAACCCTGAGTACACAATATACTCGTAAGACTTATCCGACTAGTAGGAATAATTTCCCGACTCCAAGGAATATGATAAACTTTATGGTTTGCTGGTTTCTTTTGGTAGAAAGCAATACTAATAGTGAGTCCTTATTTATGTTATTATTATCAGCCGTATTAAGTTATTATCTATCCAGTCTATGTAAGCACATGTTCTACTTTCAAGCAAGAGTTGAGCAATCAGTTCTATTTCATCATCATCCATCTTTCAGTTCTTATTACGATGCTAGAGTTAAGACAAGTCGTACTAACTCGGTGGTGATTCTCGAATCAATGTCCCCAGCTGGGTGCCCGAAAACACACGCCCTGCTTATACCCCAGGCATAAATAGGACCAACCCATCACCCTTCTGTCCTGGGTGTCCAGGTCCCCGTCCAAACTTGGACTCCAAGCCCCCACTCCTGAGTCCCGACTCAGTGCGGTGTAAGGACCTCCACCATCTCCACCTCCAATCAGTCGGTCCGGAAAGAGCCAGATCCACGATAAGAGAGCAACAAGTCTTTCCTGCGCCATACCCAAGTATGTGCTCGGGACAATAGATCTATGACTTGTCTAGCGTCCGTTGCAACGACCGGTCCTTAATCAACACAGACAGGAAAAAGTGTAACCAAGCCATGCCCTGTTGGCCGCAGGATACAACCCCTTACACCCACTAGTACCCAAACCACATCCCTGCTCGGTCACCATTTACCTTTACATCATTTTATCATGAGTGATCATAATTATCACCTGTTTGTGAGTAACGGTAGGTTACTCACACTACCGACATCCTGAGCATAGCAAATATATATATATATATATATATATATATTCAGTGATCATAAAATAGGGGTTATACACCGGGGCTTGCCTTGGGCAAGCGACGGGTCAGCAAAGTCAGCATCAAAAGGCTCCGGGG